CAAACTTAATTTGAAGCCTTTGAGAATCCAAGGGCACATCCATGCAAGTAGGACTGCAGTAGAAGTAGCTTGGTTAAATTTAGCTTGTGTAGAAACCAAATGAGCATGTCATGCTTTTTGGTATTACTGACTATCCCTTCTCCTAGTTTTGAAAGATTGTAATATTTAAAATGGATGACTAGATACAAATGTTGCTTTCAAAGAATAATTTAAACGGTGAGTCTCATTTTATAGAGAATTATTTGTGCCTTAGAGTAGCTCATCATGTAAGTGCTTGATGTTCTCATGAAATGTTTTGGCCCGTTGCAATTTTAAAAAAAAACCCAAAACTATTCAAAACAATATTGTATTTAAATTTAAGCCAAGCTGATGATGGTAATATTGATAGATACAACCAATGACAGTCAATTTTTCCACTGTAGCAGTAGGTCAATTTTGAAAGGGAACCGTGGAATAAGATTTTTAAAATATAGCCATTTTCATGATGAGACTAGTAGGAACTTTGTGGCCTTTGTCTTAATCTGATAACCAAATTCTTAAGAGTAAGCATTTAGAATAAAGAATAACTTGATAGGAATATGAAATGAATCTCTCAAGTTTACATAGCAATGAAAATCAGCCTGTTTTACTCTCTGATATAACACCAGAGACTGATACCAATATCTTTACAGAATTATCGGAATAAGAACATTTAAAGACTTAGGCTTTAATTTATGTACTGCCTATTAGGTTGATTACTGATTGAACATTTTGCTTGAAATATGCTCAACATTTAAGCATGTCTGCAAGGTACCATCCCATAGCAATCTTTGCATTGAATTCCTGTAGCATCTAAAAATCTGCAATTTGTAATATAGAAATTAAGTATTACTATTATTATTATCTTTTATAATTCTTTGATTATTTTAGGTGTCCATTTTATCTGTCCATCTTGGTCAAGGGTTCTCAGTCTTTTTTGTGCAGTCTGTTGAAACCTAGAGGCTCCTTAGAATAATATTTTTAAATTAATGAAATAAAATATATTTAAATAGTTATACACATACACATATATGTATATGTGTGTATATGTTTAAAAGCAAGTTCATAGACTACAAGTTTAGAACCCCTGTACTAAACAAACTGATGTGGGGATTTTGGGCAGGCTATGGTAAAGGAAACCTTCCTGTCCAACCAACCTCAACCACAGCTTATCCAAAATGGAGTAACCACAAAATAGTGTAATCCTCCTTCCTCCACCAACCCCCATGTCAAGCTTCACCTCAGACAAGCAAACTTATGTGAATAAAATTTAAACTTACTGAAAGAAAACGGGAACTATTTCTGGCATTCCTTTATATCCTTAGTACATGTCACATAGGTATGGTTTTTTTTTAATAGATGCTTATTTTATTTCGTACAGTTTTTACTTCCACTCACTGGAACTGTTTTTTTTGGAGTCTTAAGTGTGGTGACAATATTGTCCTTTATAGTGAAAAAAATTTGTTGGCATTTGTTCACATCCTGATTATTTTTTAGTAGAGTTGTACATTTGTATTTGGTAAGTAGGAGAAGCTATGAAAGCTTCTAAAAATTTTGGTAGACATATTCCATTTTTCAGAATGTTCTATTATACATTGTGAATATTATCCCTAAAGGACACAGGTTCGTGTCTTATTTTAGCACTTTCCGTGAGCCCTTTGTAATATTATTGTTATATAGAATCTGATTTTTAAAATATGAAGCATTAGAATAACAGACCTTTTTTCATAACAATCTCAGAATACATTTATAAAGGAGTTATATAATTAAATGTTTATTTTCACAGTTTAAAATTTAATTTTTTTCATTTTTATAAAAAAGTTAAGCTGGCAACTGGAATGACCAAAGTAATAGGATTTGAGTATGTTAGTTCACATGAAAACTTTTTTGGAAATACCCATCTTTTGAGTGAAGTGGCAATTTTTCCCAAGTTCTCTTGCCTAGTTCTGAAAGACATAATTTCCTGGACATTAAAAAGGTATTATTAAAGGTGGAAAGCTTAATTTTAAAGCATTATTTTGGTTGTGAATGCCTAAGAGTGAGTAAAGACAAAGTGCAGTTACACAGTATATTTTCATGACTGTGATCTCAAACAAATTCTGAGCTCTGATTATACTGATAAGAAGCTAGGATTTTTATCTATTGCACTCCTTGTTTGAGTGGCTACTTTGAGTCTGCTGTCCTTAATCAGAAATATTTGATATGCAGTAGAAAACAGGTTAATTGTATGGCAGCCTTGGTCTTGGCATCCTGACCTTTTTAAGTTGAATTGTGCACTTTTATTTGGTAAATAGGAGAAGTGAGTGTGACTTGGGATAGGTCTGTCACTGTCTGTACATTAAAAACATTTAGCTACTTGGAAAGAAGATTTTTAGGTTTATAATGATGTTGGCCCTTTAAGATGTTTATATCCATGTGTTTTAAGTTTTTAATTCTAGTGATGCTGATGAAATGTAAACAGCAAGATTTGGAAACTGATTGGATATATGGGGTAAGGAAGAATGAGAAATCAAGGTTAACTGTGAGATTACAAACCTGGAAGGCTGGGTGCATTGGAAGAGGGATGAATTTGGAAACAAATATAATGAGTTCTGTTTTGGATATGTTGAATTTGTGATATTTCGAGAACATCGAGTTGGCAATGTCCAATAAATAGGTGGTTGGTAATGCAGAACTGAAGCTCGAGAGATATGGGTGGGTACTAGATATATAGGTGTGCGAATCATCTGCATAGAGATGATAATTGAAACTATGGGAGTAGGTGATGTCTCTGAGAATGTAGAGACAAAAGAGACGAGGCCCCAAGATGTGCCATTCCCACAGATAGAGGTTGTGATACGGGTAACAAGAGGAAACTGGATTTAAACGGGTAGATAGGAAGGAGGAAAGCCAAAAGAGAAGTGTTACAAAAATCTATAAAGGAGAGTATCTAGTGGGAGGAGAGGTGATCAACAATGTCATACTGGGGGCAGGTAGGTGGCACAGTGAATAGAGCACTGGCCCTGAAGTCAGGAGGACCTGAGTTCAAATCCGGCCTCAGACCAAACACTTGACGCTTATTAGCTGTGTGACCCTGGGCAAGTCACTTAACCCCGATTGTCTTAAAAAAAAAAGTGTCATACTGCTGAGAGGTCAAGAAGGATGAGGACTGAGGAATGAATGATCATCAGTTTTGGCAATCAAACAGTCATTGGTAACTCTTGGGAAATAAGTTTCAGTTGAGTCAGAAGCCAAAACTACTGAGACATGGAGGGTTGTAAACCTACAATTCTTTAACTGATTCCAAAAGTAATATGTAGACTCATCTTTGGATTACAGCACATTTATTAGGGACTTGATGGGCCTATGTTCTGTATATTCTGTGCCTGCACAGTGCTATAGGAGAGCAAGTATTATACCTCTGTGGAAGATTTTATTGTGACATTGTAAGGTGGGTGTTCTCACATACTGACATGCTGGTCTTTCTCATATTAGCCTTAACTATAAATTTCCTCTTAAATTACTTTCCATTTATACTGTATATATATCTTGCATGTACAATTTTTTGCATATTGTTTCTCTCAGCTGCAAACACCTTAAGGGCAGGGACCATATTTTTTGCTCTTCTTAGTTTCCCCAGCACTAGCACAGCTCCTGGTACAGAGTAAACACTGAATGAAGGCATATGTAGAACAACTGAATTTCTACCTGTCTATCTTAGACTCTAGCTCTCCTGTATTTGGAGATGCAGACAACTTCTAATCCATCAGGTTTCAAGGCCATGCATCTTCATCATCACATATGACAGATGGCTGGCTACTTTCCCGGAAGTTGTAGCACTAATCAATTGGTTATTTCAAATATTACTCTTTTTTTATCTATTTGTTCTTGTAGAGCAACTTGGCAGTCAGTCAGCTAACTCAATTTCTGGTTTCAGGCCCTGGCCAGTTTGTGGACATAAGGGCATTTGGCTCAATTAATAATTGAAAATTAAAATTACTTAAGCCTTATTGTGTATGTGGCTACATTTTATGATTCAGCCAAATTGGCTTTCTTTCTTTTTTCGCATGGCACTCCGTCTCTTTCTAAGTTCCATGCCTTTGGAGTAGACATCCATTCTTCATGCATTGACTACCCTCCCTCAATTCTGGCTCATAGAATTCCTCACTTCCTTCAAGTATCACTACAAGAAACCTTTCCTGATTCTTCAGCTGTTTCGGTCTTCCTCCTCTAATTACCTGTTACTTAACTGTCCTTTAAAAAAGCATTTATTGTACATGTATTTATGTATGTTTGTGTTTCTCAAGGCAGAATATAAGCCATCTGGAGATTATTTCATTAGGTGTATAATATATGCTTGTTGATGACTTGATATGTGTTGAGCGTATTGTAGACCTAATATAGTAGTTATCTAATAAATATCATAGTGTTTTTTTTTTAAGTATTTGATGGATTTTTGGTTATGGTGTTTCTTTCCACTAAATAATTTTATTAGAATGAAAACGAACCCTGGAATGAGGTTTTCAGTGATCAGAGACCAGTAATTTTCATTGTTATGGTAAATTATTCAAGAAACATTTGCCAACAAAATGCATAATGGGAACTGCCCTGGTTATTTAATAGTTAGAATATTTCCAATTGGAATTAATAATTCTTTCCCCAGTTGTTAAAAAGTTTCTTGATATCTGTAATGAATTTGGCTACATTTTTACTTAAATATTTGTTTTCATTACTTTAAACTACACCTATTCGATCCTATTTGTATTCTGTATCCTAGAAAGAGATGAGGAAATACAGAAATAAGTATTTTAGGAAAGACAGAAGTAAGTAATGGAAGGAGAAGTTAGAGAGGAGCTGGACTGCTGTTTATTTCTCTGAGAAAGTACTCTGCAAAAAACCAGCAATAGCACAGTTCTGTGAGATAACTGTAATTTGACTATATGAACCAATACAGACTTCTAATAATGGCAGTAGAAAAATACATTTTATTTGATTTATTTCAGCTTTACCAACAAGGCCGTTTATGTCAACTGGGTAGCGAATTTTGTGAATTAGAAGTTTTTGCTAAAGTGTTGAGAGCTTTAGACAAAAGGTGAGTATGTTAAAATATTTTCTAAATGCAGTTATTTGCTTGTATAGAACATTAAGCATGGATTATAAATTTTTAAAAATTAGCATCAAAACCTAATAAATTAGAGAAGCATGGTTTTGTTTTGTTTTTTTTTTTTTTAAGCAAATACTTCAGCATTATATATCTACATGATATGTTTTAGTGCGAAGTTGTTGGACGATAATTTTTTCAGGTGAACCCTTTCCAAATTACAAAATATTTAATAGTTATAAATTATTTTTGGAATCAGTTAACTTGATCACTTCTTTGGAAAACACATGACAAGTTAAGTACCTAGGGTGCTCAATAGATATTACTATGTGAAATCATTCCTCTTGCTTTTGAAAGCAGGACCCTTATCTGTGGATCTGTGAAATAATATTGAATGAAAAGCTCTAGGTAAATTTGATACTCTTCCCTTTCTTTTTTGTTATAAGTATTTTAATTCTGTAATTCCAGATATTTCCTTTGATACTGTTATTATCATTTCCATGTCTTTGCTGACTTGAAAGTGCTAAATTGTGAGTAGAATCTCTAGTTCACTTAATTCATAAGGCATATGTTCAGAACCAAGTTGTCATTTTTTAACTGATAGTCTGCAAATTATCCTTTTAATGTTACTGTATCCTGTTTACAGCTCTATGAGTGATATAATGAATTTGTACTTTTTAAAAGTAACAATTTTTTTCTCAAAACTTCTAAAAAGGAAAAGTATTTTAAAAAAACAAGCCAGTATTTTCCAGAGGAATTAAGACATGATATTTTAATTGAATACCTTTTTCACCCTTTTAGACATTTGCTTCATCACTGTTTCCAGGCTTTGATGGATCATGGTGTGAAAGTTGCTTCGGTCTTGGCCTATTCATTCAGTAGACGGTGCTCTTATATAGCAGAATCAGATGCTACAGTCAAAGAAAAAGCAATCCAGATTGGCTTTGTTTTAGGTAAATAATAGAAAAATAGAACAATGTGTATTATATAATGCTGTTGTAAATCAGAATCAGACTTGCCAAACTATAGCAACTTTTTACACGGTCTTCCCAACTACTATATCCAGTATGTTACCAAAAAGTTCCATGTAGTTATGTTTCACCTTGCAGTTACAAAGCATCATGCATACTTGGTGCCGCTGCAAAGTGGTACAGTGAATAGAACATTGGACCTAGAGTCAGTAAGATCTAAATTCAATTCCAGCCTCAAACATTCACTAGCTGTGTGACCCTAGACAAGTCACTTAACCTCTCATAACTCAATTTCCTCATCTGTAAAATGAAGATAATATTACATTCCTCCCTGGGTTGTTGTGAGGATAAACGAGATAAAATCAGTAAAATACCTTGTAAACTTTAAAGTACTATATAAATCCTCGTTATTGTTGTGAAGGACCCTATCAAGGAGATAGTCTTGAGTTATTAGTCCCAATTTGCAAGTAATGAGTAGCAGAGCTACTCAATGAAGTGTAAAATTCATTCATGTCTTTTGACTCCCAAATTCAATGTTTTTTTTTCCATTCTACTTTGTCATTTACATAACATTTTCCTATGACTTGCATAAATTAATATACAATATTATATTGAGGACAATTTTCTAGCTTAATATTTTGTCATTACTACTTATCATTCCTTGATATTTTTCTTTCCCAGTCACCTTTTATGTCAGACTTTATATACTAGAAACATATGGCAGATGTTAGTACACAGATGCTAGGGAATAACTAGGGGCAGGGGAAGGAGAGTTTTTCAGCTTGGATTTATTGGGGAAGAGAGTCTTTGGAAACCTTTCATCCTGTAGGTTAGCAATGCTATAAAACAGGCTATTATAGCTGCTATAGTTTCTAAAGTTGGGCTTTTAATATTTGCCAAAGCACGGGCAGCGCGGTGGATGGAACACCGGCCCTGGAGTCAGTAGGACCTAAGTTCAAATCTGGCCTCAGACACATAATGCTTCCTAGTTGTGTGACTCTGGGCAAGTCAATTAACCCCAATTGCCTCACCAAAAAAAATAAATTTAAAAAAAAATTTGCCAAAACAGCAATTTAAGCACTGAAGGTTTCAGAAATTTAACACAAAGACTTTGTTATTTAAAAACTTGTTTAAGAGCTATAAAATAGAGGCAGCTAGGTGGCGCAGTGGATAGAGCACCAGCCCTGAAGTCAGGAGGACCTCAGTTCAAATTTGACCTCAGACCAAACACTTGATACTTACTAGCTGTGTGACCCTGGACAAGTCACTTAACCCCAATTGCCTAAAAAAAACAAATAAAATTTGGGGCAGCTAGGTTGCGCAGTGGATAGAGCACTTCCCCTGAAGTCAGGAGGACCTGAGTTCAAATGTGGCCTCAGACCAAACACTTAACACTAGCTGTGTAACCCTGGGCAGGTCATTTAACTCCAATTGCCTGAAAAAAAAAAAAGATAATAGAAAATAAAGCACGTTCAAATAATAGTACTATTATTTTGCTAGTTCTTTAAGCAGTGTTATTTAACCCACTGTGGGTCTAAGATGATATTGTTGAAATTGGGGGTTGTAATTTTCGAGGACGTCATAGCCAAATTGTAGTAGCGTTGTAGAAGTTATAAAAGGACTGGATTTGGAGTCAGAAGGCCAGAACTTGGATCCAAACCCTGCTGTTTACTATCTCTATGACCTTGGACAAAGCACTTGGCCTCTCTATGCCAAAATTTCCTCATCAGTAAAATTAGAGGATTGAACCAGATGACTTCTGAAATACCTTTCAGGTCTAAATCCATTCAGCTAGAGATAAAAAGCATCAAGCAGCTATTGAATACCAAGTTCACTTCCATATAAATGAGATAGCTCATGATATCTTTTTCCTTCTCAGCCTTTACCTTGCTTTTACCATGAATGTATTTGTAGGATTTTTTTCCCCTTTTATGAGAGGCCTCAAGAGTTTATAGGATGAAAATATTACCTAATTACTTAGTAGTGATACATAATTATCTAGGAAAGTGTAGATTTAGTCCCACATAATCAGTATCCTTGATTCCTTAAATTATAAAATTAATTTCTAATTCTAGATTGTTTCAGAATTAATGCAAAATATCCCATTTTCCATGTCATTAATTTGTTTCATGGAATGCAAAAAAATATGTATTTATAGAATTAAAATAATTTGGTTTTCTTATTTTTAGGTGGCTTTCTCTCAGATGCAGGTTGGTACAGTGACGCAGAGAAAGTTTTCCTGTCCTGCCTTCAATTGTGTACCCTACATGATGAGATGCTTCATTGGTTTCGTGCGGTAGAATGTTGTGTGAGGTAGGTTTGACTGCTTTGCAGTAACCTGTATTGGTGTTGAAGTCTACAGTGTGGTTTAAATACACCTATGTCCTTGTTACAATAAAATATAATATTGTTGTGCATTTGTATCATATATCTTTACTGCTGTTCCCCCAGATATGTTTAACTTCCAACACAGATTTTGAAGTGTGTTTATATTATATTTGGAATGTTCTTTTAGTCTTCATATACTGGTTTCTGTTTTCTTTTACCACAATTTATATATTTGCAGCTCCATAGATGTAATAAATCCAAGCAAATTCAGGAATATAGGCTGCCAACTACGTGTCATGCACTGGGAATATAGAAAAAGGCATAGCAAACAAAACAGAAAGGCCCTGCCCACTTAACTTACAATTTAATTAGGAAGAAAACACCAGAAAGAAAAGCTGAAAAGTAAGGTTAGGGGAATGTAGAGGGGAAGGTATTCAACATGATGGAGAAATTTTTTTTTTAACAGTTTTTGAAATTATTTTTAGTTTTCAACATTCACTTCCATAAGCTTTTGAGTTTTAAATTTTCTCCCTCTCCTTTCCCAAGATGACATGCAATCTGATATAGGCTCTGCATATACTTTTTTAACCCATTATGGAAATCTCATAATACTCTTTTGGTTAAAAAAAATTAATTTTTTCTTGCTTCTGCTTGAACTTGAGGTTCTGCTCAAATTTATTTTTTTTTTTAATTTTTAATTTAATTTAATTTTTTAAAATTACTTTATTTTTTATATATTTTATAATTTATAATTTTTTATAAATTTTTTATTTTTAATAAATTTTATATTTTTATAAATTTTATATGGAAGAACATTACAAAAGTGAAGACAAAGTATATCTCTCCCCTTCAATTTGTATAGATTCTCATTCTGTCTTGGAATGATTTTTTTCTCTAAGTCTCTTGCTTCTCTGTATTTATCATATTTTTTACCACACATTACTGTAGCACAACTTGTTTAGCTATTCCCCAACTGATGGGCATCTATTTTCTTTCCAGTTCTTTGTTCCTACAAAAAGTGCTGCTATAAACATTATGGTGTGTATGTAGCCTTTCTTTTTGTCAGTAACCTCCAGGACTACAGTGTGTGTCTAACAGTGAAATCTTAGGATCAGAGGGTATTTGGGCATTTTAGCCACCCTGTTTGCATAATTCCAAATTGTTTTCCTGAATGCTTGTACTAATTAACAGCTCCAGCAACAATTTGTTAGTATATCTTTTTATTTTTTTTTTTTTTAACTCCTCCAGAATTGACTTTTATCATCTTTGCCAAAATCAGTGTGAAGTGAAACCCTCAGGGTTGTTGATAATTTTGCCTTTTCTGAAACCATATAACTTGCTGTGTAATATTTCATATTCAGGTGATAGCATGTGACTTATTTATCTCTTATTGTATCCCAACACAATACAGCATTAACAGCACTGATTTGGAGGACTTAGATTCAAAATTAGCTCTTCTCTTGCTGTTTTTGTGACCTTGGGCAAGTCATATCATCCCTCCATTTCTTCATAAATAAAATAGAGGTATTCTATTAGATAATTTCCAGGGGTCTCTTCTAGCTTTAAATGTATGAAGTGTTTCATTTGGTTTTTTTTTTTTGCCTTTAGCTATGGAATATAGAATATTTGTTTCTTAAAAGTTTTGTTTTCTGTATTTTATCACAAATTTTTAATTTGTGATAAAAATTTATCACAAATTTTTAATTTGTGATAAAAATTTATCACAAATTTTTAATTTGATTCTGGTGGTATCTGCCAATCTCCCCCCACCCCGGGCAAGGGGGTTAAGTGACTTGCCCGAGGTCACACAGCTAGTAAGTGTCCAGTGTCTGAGGCCAAATTTGTACTCAGGTCCTCCTGACTCCAGAGCCGGTGCTGTATCCGCTGCGCCACCTAGCTGCTCCAGTATCTGCCAGTTTCTTAAATACTCCAATGTATGACTTCCCCACAGTTTCCCTGCAACAGAAAAGGGAAAATAAAATTTTTTTAAAGGAACACAAAGTAAGAAAGTGAGTTATTTTGGCCCTGATAGTCAAGATTTAGAATTTTGTAATCTAAGTCCATTTTGAGAAAGGATATTCCTATGACTCCTCTTGAAAAATAAGCCCATCATGATGAGAAAGATTAGGTACAAAGAATTTTTTGACTGTATTAATGAAGGAAGAAAGAAGAGATTCCATATATTGAGAACTTTGCACAAACATGATTAGATCTATCATTGGAGTGGTTGGGAGTGGAGGGAGCTCAGCTAAAATGTTATGGGTAAAGAGGCCTAAAATTGAGCTTGAGCTTGAACATAGAAAGTGAGGAATCTCGGATCCCTCCCCTGCCCAATTCAACAGTGGGCTAAAATCTGAAGATTCAACTTGAGCCAGACTCCAGAGAGTAGTATGTATCATGAATTAAGCCCTACTGGTTGGAGCATGCAAAATTCAGTTTTGGAAGAGTTTCAAATGTTAACATCTTGGTGGCAGTTTCATCCTTAAACTACCATGAGAAATGATTGGACTACAAATTGGATCAGGACATTATTGACTTTACATAAAAATCCCTTCCTTTATCTGCATCTGATGATATAAAGTCAGGATTCACCACCAGCATCACATAGCTGAAGGCAAAGGGAAGGTAGCCAAGGCCAGGGAAGCTACAGCACGAGATAGAGGGTGAGACAAATAATTCAGTATTAACTCATTAATATTACACTTTAAGGTTTACTAATTATTTCCTTATCAAAACCTTTTAAGATAAACTGGTGTGATATTGGAGAGGGGGGTGGTGTGGGGAAGGAGTGTGATAATCCACAGTATCAATGAGTAAACATTGGAATTCTACTGGATCTTTAGTCTCAAATTAATGTTCCTCCAGTGATGCAGATCTCAACCCAACTATGTCTACTCATTCTATTCTTTTCACATTGCAAGGATACTAGTGAAGCAAGTAAGCTATCCATCAATTGTACTTCTCTTTTGCTATATACACTGGCTTGTCATTTGTTGCACTAAAACATTTCTGCTTTTCCTGTCTAATTCCTCATTTGTGGTACATTTCAGGTTGTTCATACTCAACTTATACTCTCAACAAATTCTGGTACATGAATGTGATAGAGTTTTACTGTAGGTTAAGAAACAGTAGAATACAATACAAGGAGACATGCAAAGACTTAATGAAAACAATATGCACAAAGATACCACAGTATCAATAGAATATCTAAACAGTGCTGTAGAGTTATAATGACTAAAGCTTGACTCTGAAGAACAGAGGATGAGAATATAGTCTCCTTTCTTCTCTGCAGAGGAGGGGTACTATGGATGTGGAATGCTACAATGCTTCTGCTTATTCTTTTTTTAAAAATGAACCTGTGATTTTGTCAGTGTACAGAGCTTCTGGTAAGGAATTTCCTCTGCTAGCATAAGTCAGCACTTTCTCTTTGATATATGTAGCTTGGGAATTACCAGGGGCACTGAGAATTGCCCAAGATTGCACAGCCAGTAAATAACAGAGCCAGTACTTCAGAATGAAAAATAAATAAATAAATAACCAGGCAAATATTTAATAACAAAATCTTCATGTAATGCTTTTCAGAAGTTATTTTGACTAAAGAGTTGAGAATGCCTGGATTCATTCTTTGAGTATTTTTCCTCATTTTATCAACATTATTTATGTTTCAGGTAGACTGTATAGTATAAGTTTGAATTTTTTTTTTAACCACAACCAAACTCAGACACAGGTTTGTAACCTGGATCATAATTATTAGATAAAAATGAAAAAGAAACTAGCTGCATGACTCTGAGCAAGTCATTTAACCCCATTGCCTAGCGGGGGGAAAAAAAATGAAAAAGAAAAAACCCTTGTAGTATTGAGGGTATAACAGGTCTCCTAAAGTAATTGAATCCTTCTTTTTTCCTTTTTTAATTAATGATTTTTGTCACCACATTTTTTTTCCTGAATATATCCCTTCCTTTCACCTGTCTCAGGATCATTTTCTTGTATCAAATCCTAAAATAAAAAAGAAAGTGGACAGAAGAAAAGCAATTTAGCAAAACCTACCAATACAAGTTGCACTGCCTGACAGTGTATTGCATGTTAATTTTTTTTTTTTTAAAGAAGCTAGCAGGGGGCAGCTAGGTAGCACAATGGATAGAGCACCCACCCTGGAATCAGGAGGACCTCAGTTAAAATCCAGCCTCAGACACTTGACACTTAGTAGCTGTGCGACCCTGGGCAAATTACGTAACCCCATTGCCTAGCTTGAAAAAAAAAAAGAAGCTAGTTATATTTATATCCAATAAGTTAATAGATCCATCAGAAAATGTATAGTAGTACTCATTTATATAGTGCCTACTATGTACCAGGCACTATTCTGAGCAGTTTATAAATATCTTATTTGAACCTCACAACAACAGGGCTGGGGGATAGATGCTATTATTATCTCCATTTTACAGATGGGGCATGTAGCATTTAAGTGACTTGCCCAAGGTCACATAGCTAATAAATGTCTAAGGCTGGATTTCAACATAGGCCTTCCTGACTACAGGCCCAGCACTAAAGTGTAGTGGCCACTTCACAACTTAGCTTCTCCATACTTGTTGTGATAGTAAGTTACGGGGTGGGGGGGGAAGGCAAGTTAGTGACTAAATATATTGTGGCACATGAATGTAATAGAATCCTTCTGTGCCATGTAACAATGTATATGACATACAGAGAGAGACTTACCAGTACTAACACAAAGTGAATGAAGTAGAAACGAGAAATAGACACAATGACTTCATCAGTGAAAATAGAACAGAGGGAAAAAACAACAGGACAAGGAAAACCAAATGCCACATAGTTATAATATTCAAGCATGGCCCCAAAGAAGAGATTTAAGAAGGTACTCTCTCTTGCTTCTTTGCAGAGATGGGGTCTTGGGTGTGGAAACTGCATATAATGTCAGATGTTTTCAATGTGTTGGTTTTACTGAGCTATATTTTTTTTCTTTCTTTTTTTTTAAAAGACATTTTTTCATTTGAGGGAAATTTTGGGTAGGATTCTCCAAATATAACCTTTTTAAACATCTTTGAAAACAACTTTGTACTGACTTGGTCATATATGATATTCTTTTTATAGTGACTCAGTGCTAAGTTCTCTGGTCCTTCTCTCCATTTCTCAATTTAACTAATAACTAGGTTGTTTCATACGTTCTCCTAAGTGTACTAAATGTTTCAAGTAGTTCTCTGTATTCATGTTATGGTATGTAGTCAGCATTAGTATATATTTTATCTCATAATGTGAGATTTTTGAACTTGAGTACCATTTGAAATGAGTAACTTTTTTTTTAAGGTAATTGGGGTTAAGTGACTTGCCCAGGGTCACACAGCTAGTAAAGGTCAAGTGTTTGGTCTAAGGCCTGTTTTGAACCCAGGTACCCTGACTCCAAAGCTGGTGCTTTATCCACTGCGCCACCTAGCTACCCCGAAATGTATACCATTTGAAATCTTTGAAAATATTACTAATTTTCCCACTACTATCTGCTAATGGAGGACATCACCTTTGCCACTCCACAATCGTTTGATTTTTCCACCTATCCTCTTTACTAGTAAAATTTTTGAAATAATTTTCCTTGTTTATGATTTATTGCTATATTTTTAAATGAACATTTCAGCATGATTAATTTCTAACTAAATGCTATTTGGGACAGGCTGTATTTTTGGGAAGATTTTGCCTTTATAATAAACTTGTATTTATTGTAAATGCAATTTGGGTGGACTTTTATTGTGACTTTTAATGAGAAAACTGAATTATGACCAGGTTCACATGGCTTGTTTAAGTCCTTTTCTCTTTCCTGTATTGTGAGAAAAACAATTGTGTTTTTCTTGGTTAACTGCAGCTATTGCTACTATTATAACAAAATAATAGCCTCAGGAAACCTGTCATCCTCAAATTTTATTTATTGTCCATAGCATTGACTTGTCAATAAATCAGACAACATAGTTCTTTTCTGTATTTATGTAAACATAGTGATTTGAAAGAACAAAACAAAAAAGTAAAAATCATTTTCTAAAAAGCATTGGAACTCTTTGTTTCCAAATAGGCTCCTACATGTTCGAAATGGAAATTGTAAATATCATTTGGGTGAAGAAACATTCAAGTTAGCTCAATCTTACATGGACAAGCTTGCAAAACACGGCCAGCAGGCAAACAAAGCTGCTCTCTATGGAGAACTATGTGCTTTACTCTTTGCAAAAAGTCATTATGATGAGGTGAGTATTCTTGGGGTAGTGGTGGGTGGGGTTTAGATATACATGTCCTAACTTGTTGCAGAGCAAACAAAACCATTTATGTTTTTATTGAAGAAAATGAAACTTTAGTCTTTTTTCAGCAGCTGTGCAATATAGATGTGTTCCTGAAAATTTTAGTGCAAATAAACATTTTATAAATAAAATTAGCACCTTGAGTTCATAAGAATTTATTTTTAAAGTCTTACAAAGCAAATAACTATCCCTTTTCTTATTTGTCTTATAAGTCTAGATTTTTCACATATTAAGTTTGCCTAAGACACAACTGACATACTGAAAGTCAGTTAAATCTACTATTTTCAGCCATTACACATACACACACACACACACACACACACACACACACACACACACACACACAGAAAAATTGTAATATATTGGAAACAGCACTGGATTTGGAGTCATGAAGTGTTGGTTCAAATCATGGCTATTATTCTTAATAACACTATGGCAAGGACCAGGGGTGGGGAACCTGTGGCCTTCGAGGTCCTTGGGTCCGGCCATTGGACTGAGTCCAAGTTTTACAGAACACATCCTTTTATTAAGAGGATTTGTTCTATGAAGTTTGGATTCAGTCAAAGGGCTACGCTTGAAGACCTAGAGGGCCACATGTGACTTGAAGGCTGCAGGTTCCTCTGGCCAAGATTGTTAACGTCTCTCAAGCCCCATTTTCTTCACAAGTAAAATTGGGGTGATAGCCCACTTTATAAATTTTTATAAGGAAAATTATTTGTAGATAGTTTTTTATTTATTGCTATATTTTTAAATTAACATTTCAACATGATAGATTCCTAGCTATTTTTGAGCAGGCTGTGTTTTTGGAAAAGTTTGCTTTTATAATAAACTTGTATTTATTATAGATACAATTTGGGTAAAATAAAACTTTTAATGAGAAAACTGAATTTTGACCAGGCGTACATGGTTTGTTTAAATACTTTTTTATTCCTGTCATATGAGAAAAACAATTGTGTTTTTCTTGGTTAACTGCTGTTGTTGCTTATAGTACTAATCAAACTTAGATAAAACTTATCTCTAAGGGAATGTTTTATTTAACCATACCTGTTTAAAACAGGTTTTGTTTATGTTTCTTGCTCTGGGTGGGGGAAAAGATGCATTTTCTTTTGATTGGAAGAATATTTAATTAAAAAATGGAAAAAATGTTAAGTAATTTTCATTTTTAAATTTAAACTAAATTAAGAAAATTTTTAAGCCATTAATAACAGTCATGGGTGGGTTTGGAGGTGGCCCTTGGTATCACACTTTACTGGTCATAAGCCAACAAAAAGTTTTATGTGGTTTTCAAAATTTCGTGTGGCCAAATTCTAGGAATTAAATATGAGTATATATTAAATATAAATATATGATTCTTGAAAGGGAAGTTAAAATCAGGATAATAAAAATTATTATAAATAAAGAATAGTATTTGTTTTTGTCAATATTCTATTTTTCAGCTAGTTACTCCCTCATTTCTGTTCTCCTTGTAGTCATACTATGTTGGTATCTTACTGTTTGGAATAATCCACTTTGTATCCCTTCATTCATTTGTTTTGCCTATAACATTTTTACTTTTGAACAAGAGCAATTCTTTCAAGTTAAGAATACAGTTTGTTCAAAACTGAGAAAAACGGGTGTTACTTGGAGCAATTGTATTTATCCTAGAATTATTTCTGAATTGTACTTTACTTTCATTTTTTCCCCTTGCCTCTACTTCTTTGTATCATATGTCTCATTCTCCTAAATAATAACATTTTCATTAAATGCTTCTGTTCAGTTTATGCTGCTTATGTAAATATTTGTCTTGTGTAGGCTTACAAATGGTGCATAGAAGCTATGAAGGAAATCACAGTTGGATTGCCAGTCAAAGTAGTGGTGGATGTTTTACGACAAGCTTCAAAGGTGAATTTAAAGTTTCATTTGTTAGTTCACTTAAAAGTATTTTCATACTTTAAAAAAACTCTATTGACTTTTAACTTCATACTAGATTATTGGTTTTGTAATGTGGTATGTTTTCCTAGTAAACCATCAGAGTAGTTATTTGACTACTTAAAATCTTCCAGTATAGGGGCATCTTGGTGGTGGTGCAGTGGCTAGAGCACCAGCCCTGGAGTCAGGAGGACCTGAGTTCAAATCCAGCCTCAGACACATAACACTCACTAGCTGTGTGGCCCTGGACAAGTCATTTAACCCCAAATGCCTCACCAAAAAGAAAAAAAAAATTTTCCAGTATAGAACTTAACTAATTTTTACCATAGTTTATACACAAAATGCAAGATACTACACCCTGACAGTACTGTTAGATCATTGAATCAGAAGCAAAAAAAAAAAAAAAAAATGTTTTTCTGCCTCTACTAGACTGAGAGATTTCAAATGGTTCCTGTCGTATTGTGGTTGATTGCTTCTTCTGCCAAAGTAATTGGTTGGTGTGTTATGTACCCTCCTTCCTTTTGAAGGAACTATTTTTGTACTATTTTTGGTATGGATGGAATTATTCTGATTAGTTTTGTATGCTTGGTCATTAACCTTTTTCTTATTTACTCTTGTGCCATCTTCTTCAGCTAGATCTTGCCAATGAGCAGATTTTCCCAGGGAAGGTGAAATACTTGGCAAAATGCATTGACCCTTAAGGATAAGGATGATTTGGTTGATTATGGCTTAAGAAGTAAATGCACCCCATCAAATCATGAGCAATACTTTTATTTATTTAAGCCATTAGTAAGTGCCTACTATATGCCAGGTACTTATGTTATGTGACATGGAATCTAAAGACAAAAGGAGTACTGTGACTGCCCTCCAGGAGTCTACCTTATAATAGAGGAAAATAACATGAACCTCAAAAAAAAATAGATTTAATTGTTTTTTCAGTTCTATCCATCTCCCCATTGGAAAAAAGAAACAAGAAAGAAAGAAGAAAAAATCCTTGTAAAAAGAATATGCATAATTGAATGAAACAAATTCCTTCTTTGGCCATATCTAAAAAGATATTTTCATTCTACACCTTAAATACATCACCTCTCATCATGGGTCCTTCGGAATGGTGGCTAGTCATTGCATTGAGCAGAGTTCTTAAGTCTTTCAAAGTTGTTTATCTTTAAATTGTTATTACAGTTGTCCTGATTTTACTCCCTTCACACTGCATTATTAATTGATATAAATCTTCCCATCATTTCTTATGGCACAGTATTATTTTATTACCTTCATTTGTACACTTGATGGTCAACCTGTTAGTTTCTACTTCTTTTCCATGACAGAAAGGCTACTATAAATGTTTTGAACATTAGGGTTGGTTTTTCTCTTTCTTTGATCTCTTTGGGGTACTATCACTGGGTCAAAAGATATGCCTAATTTACTAACATTTTTTGGTATAGTTCCAAATTATTTTCCATAATGACTGGACTAATTCATATCTCTTCCAACAGTATATTAATGTACCTATTTTCCCACAGCCCCTCCAAAAATTGTCATTTTCCTTTTTTGTCATCTTTGCTTTGAAAGGTATAGGTTTTATAGGAGGTTGACAGACTGAGAATCAAAATGTAATTTGAAGACCCTAAGTATGAGGTTTGGGAAATAGAGCTAAATACTGAACTCCGTGAGAAAGGAAGGATAAAGACCTGGTGGTTGATAGATAATAGCTACTAGGAGGTAAGGAGATTTAGAGATTATCCAGGATCAAATAGGGCAGCATATCCAAATGAAATGAATTTCAAAGGAGAAAAGGTTGTAAAGTGACTGTGAGAGAATCTGGAAGTGATAGTGAGGAGGCAGAAGTATGTTTACTCCTAAAAGGCTCAGAGTGAGTGAAAGTGCTAGAGAGAGGGAGGGTCTCAAGTAATTGCAAGGAAGTGGAAGGGCAGTTTGTTACCACTGAAACAGTTTTTGGAGGCACAATGGAAGGGAAGAGAATAAGATAGGAACATTGAAGAAATGAAACTAGCATAGCTACAGGTGAGCAAGGAAGAGAGATTCTGCCTTGGTAGCCTGTGAGTTTTAACCATAGGGATTTTGAGTAGAAGTAAAGACAGAAAAATCACTAAATGTTAGCTTAGAAAATACGTTGAGGGGAGGGGATGGCAGAGCCAGGATGGTGGAATAAAGCCAAGTACTTGCCTGAGTTCTCTCAAATTCCTCTCCATAACTCCTCAAAACAGATTCTGAAGTAGCAGAATCAGCAAAAGAGTGGGGTGAAATTATTTTCTGGCCAAAGACAACTTAGACGGTTGGCAGTAAAGGTCTGTTTCACTGGGGTGATGGTGGAGCACAGTGCAGCTCAGGCTGTACCCTAGGAAGCCAGCAATAGGCCATGGGGGAGACTAAATCAGATGCAACAGCTTCCAGAACTCTCAGCCTATAGATGGTAAGGGAGGGTCAGACAACTAGTCAGAAGGAGATTATATAGGACCTTTTGCTGGCACTAGGAGCAGGACTCAGTTGCATTGCCCATACTTGGTTCTGGGTCGTAATCCCAGGGAAAGGGAGAACGCTAGCAAGAGTCACAGTTGGTCACAGTTGCAGGGCAGAAAAGAGTGTTTGTGATCACTCAGGCCAGGAGAACAGTGACCTCGCTTCTCCTTAGATCATACTACCTTGGAAGAACTGAAAATTCATTTTTGTGTGTGTGTGTGTGTTTTGGTTTTTTTTTTGTTTGTTTGTTTGTTTTTTTGGGGTTTTTTTTGGTAAGGCAGTTGGGGTTAGGTGACATGTCCAAGGTCACACAGCTCGTATGTGTCAAGTGTTTGGTCTGAGGCTGGATTTGAACTCACGTCCTCCTGACTTAGGGCCAGTGCTCTGTTCACTGCGCCACCTAGCTGCCCCTAGAACTGAAAATTTAGATGCCACCACCCCCAACCCTCAGAACTAGCACTGAAAATAGCAACTCAGAAAAACCTGAAGCTTGGGACAGTGCCCCCTCCATCCTGGAAGCAGAGCCAAACGTTAACATAAAGTTAAAAGTCAAGAAATTGGCTGGAAAAATGAACAACAAACAAACAAGAGCAATACCAAAAGAACCTGACTGTAGAAAGTTACTATGGTGACGGGAGAATTATTAAAACACAAATTCAGGAGACAATGATGTCAAAACATCTAAATGCAAAGCCTGAAAGAAAAATGTGAATTGGTCTCACCTCCCACCCTACCCCCCAGAAAATTCTTAGAAGACATCAAAAAGGGTTTAAAAACTCAAGAGAGGTAGAAGAAAAGTAGCACCTTAAAAAACAATAAGCTAAATGGTAAAAGAGGCACAAAAATCCACTGATGAGAATGCACAATTGTCAGGGCAGCTAGATGGCTCAGTGGATAGAGCTCTGGCCTTGAAGTCAGGAGGACCTGAGTTCAGATACAGTCTCAGACACACATTACACAATACATACTAATTGTGTGACCCTGGGCAAGTCACTTAACCCCAATTGCCTAGCAAAAAGCAAAAAAAAAAAATTATTTATTCTATTTGCACAATTGTCCACATAGAAAAGGATGTAGAGAAATTCATTAAAGAAAGACTGCTTAAAAAAGTAAAATTGGCCAAATGAAAAAGGAGATACAAAAACTCACTGAAAAAAATAATTTCTTAAAAATTAGAATTGGGCAAATGGAAACTAATGACTCCATGAGACATCAAGAAACAACTAAACAAAAATCAAAAGAATGAAAAGGAAAAGAGAGAGAAACAAGGGAATAAAGTAGTATGGAGGGAAATAGATAGTAATTATAACTGCAAATGTGAATGGGATAAACTCACCCATAAAATGGAAGCAGATAGTGGAGTGGATTTAAAACCCAAATCCTATGATATGTTGTTTATAAGAAATACTTTTGAGGCAGAGAGATACACCTAGAATAAAGATGTAAGGGACTGGAGCAGAATCTATTATGCTTCAGCTGAAGTAAAAAAGATAGCAGTGATAGCAGTTATGATCTCAGACAAAAAGAAAAAATAGATCTAATTAAAAGACTTAAAAGCAGAGAAGCTACATTTTGTTAAAAGATACCATAGACAAGTATTATCAACACTAAACATGAACATGTATGTACCAAATGGTATAGCATCCCAATTACATTACATTTAAAAGGATTTGTACAAATAAAACCCATGCAGCCAAGATTAGAAGGAAAGTAGAAAACTGGGGGGAAATTTTTACATCAAGTTTCTTTTATAAAGGCCTCATTTGTCAAAAGTATAGAGAGCTGAGTTGTTTGTAAGAAACACAAGTCGTTCCCCAAGTGATTAATGGTCAGATGATATGAACACAGAAGAAGAAATCAAAACTATTTATAGTCATATGAAAAAATGCTGTAAGTCACCATTGATTAGAGAAATACAAATCAAAACAACACTAAGGTACTACCTCATACCTATCAGATTGGCTAATATGTCAGAAAAGGAAAAGGACCTCTATGTACAAAAATATTTATAGCAGCTCTTTTTGTGGCATCAAAAAATTGGAAACCGAGTAGATGCCTATGCCTGGATTAGGTTTTGTATGTGATCATAATGGAATACTATTGTGCTATAAGAAATGACAAGCAGGATGCTGTCAGAAAAACCTGGAAAGACTTAGATGAGCTGATACAGCGTGAAGTGAGCAGAACTAGGAGACCATTGTACATAGTAACAGCAGTATTATACTATCATCAACTGTGAATAACTTAGCTTTTATCAGCAAGACAATTCCAAAGGACTTATGATGAAAAATGGTATCTACCTCCAGAGAAAGAATTGATGGAATCTGAATGCAGATCTAAGAATACTTTTTCTCCCTTTATTTTTCTTGGTATTTTTTAGGGGCGTGGGTCTGTTTTCTTTCACAGTATGACTGATATGGAAATATGTTTTGCATGACTGCACATGTATATCCTATATCAAATTGCTTACTGTCTCAGGAAGGGGGAGGGGAGAGAGATAGTTTGAAACTCAAAATTTTAAAAACTAATATTAAAAATTATTTTTACATATAATTAGAAAAAACAAAATATATAATTTAAAAAAAAGAAAACAAGATTTCCTTCAGAAATACAATTTATTCAAACAGTTACATTTTGGATTCAATAGCTATGTCTATGTTTGTAATTTCTTCAAACTTTAAAAGAGTATTTTTTTAAATCCCATTATTAAGACCTAATTACTTCCTGATCCATATAAATGACATAAATGCTAATGTTGTAAAGCGTAAACGTGTGTTTGATCCAAACAAATGGCATATGTTAATGAATGAAAAAAAAAAAAAAGATGATTACTAGGAATAGATTCCTAAGAAGCTACCTTCACAGTTAAAAACACAAATGATAAAACAGTAGAAATAACTTTAGGAGCTGACAAAACAAAAGTTAATACAGCAAATCTTAGATCAAAATGAAAGGAATGTATAGAATGAACATATTAGTATAATACTAAAATAAATAATGAAATTTAGACTAAAGTGGAGGGGAACAAAGATCAATATGAACTATTCTGTAGTTGGCTTGTGATTGTAAAAGTCTGTATAACACCTACTACATTGAACTTTGAAGATATCCTTGCAGGATGGGACCAACAACTTCATTATGGACATTATTTAGAATGGCCTTTTATTAGTGCTTAAGTGAGACTAGCTTGCCACCTTGGCCTTGCTCTATAAGCTGTGTTCTTAGGGATAGTTTGCTTTTATAAACAGCAGAAGTGTATAAATCATATTCTTTGTAAAATAAGTTTTTATTTTACCCCCCCAAAATTTTTCTGTTCTCAATTTTGTTTCTAATATCAATTACTTTAGCCGTTTATGTTGAAAATATTTAATGGTTTTTCCTCCCTTAATCTTTAGGCTTGTGTAGTAAAACGTGAATTTAAGAAGGCAGAACAGTTAATAAAACATGCAGTGTACTTAGCACGGTAAGTGACCATTATTAAAAGTACATTTCCCAAAAAAATACATTTCCATGTAATAAATACAGACTTTAGTGAAAATTTTTCTTAAAGTATTAAGAGGGGAAAATAGTATTTTAAAAATACATCCCTTAAGCCCCTAGATTCTAATTTTGCATATTTTTACAGAGAACATTTTGGAGCCAAACACCCAAAATACTCAGATACACTGCTAGATTATGGATTTTACTTACTCAATGTAGATAATATCTGCCAGTCTGTTGCAATTTATCAGGTATGTTAAAAATTCACAATTCTTTTATTTTTTTTTCCCTTGGATTTCCCAAGTATAATCTGTTTGCAAAGCCTTTGTTTTTGTAACACCATGTAGTTTGCAAATAATGGACCCGGTCCAAGTGGTAAGTAACTACTTTCTATGAATAACTGTTTTTCAGTTCCCTAGAAAAATTCTCTTAAGGATAAACAGCTTATTTCATTAGAATAGTTTTTGTTGTTAAATGAAAGCCAGTATTATAATTAAGCCCCTTGACATGAATAGATAGAAGTATCTTCCTTTCATTTGCCATGATGAGATTGTTACCTATTGCATTTTGCTGTAGAGTTATTGAGTCAATATTGGTATGGTTACCCTAATTCCTCCTAGGAAAACATAGCTATTATTAAGTGGTCAAAGTATACAAGTTGCCCTCCCTAATCAGCTTCATAAAGAGGTTCCTATATGACCATTTTTGTAAGTTCATTCCTTACCCTTTAAGTCAAAATGTCTTCAAAAATTAAACCTATGCATGTCTACCTTCAGTTGTATTTTAAAAAACAGTACATCATGTTTAGTTTTAAAATGTAACGAGCTGTAGTGTGTATACTATATGACTCATAAAACATGAATAGTAATATGTAATTTTCTATAACCCTATATACATAACTGTTATGATTAGTTAAATTGGATAGTGATTTGTAAATATCCTTGATTAAGTAGGATTTCTTTTAACAAATATTTCAGACAGCTCTTGATATTCGACAGTCAGTATTTGGAGGAAAAAATATCCACGTAGCCACAGCGCATGAAGACCTGGCTTATTCATCTTATGTTCACCAGTATAGTTCTGGAAAATTTGACAATGCACTGTAAGTACTTAAATTCCTCTCCAGCAGAGGAAAAAATCCTGGAGGTCCACTGGTGGAGTAGTTTCATCTAGTGCCTTTGGAAGAAATGTGCTTTACAAAATAAATTTGTACTCCCCTCCCCTTCCCCCCAAGTTGAAGAGAAACTGCATAGACCCCTACTGGATTTGAAGTTGTGGAACCTGGTTTCACATTCTAACTCTGCTATTCATAGGACCTGTGTGGCCGTGAGAGCAAGTATCTTAACATCTCTAGGACTGAGGTTCTTAACATTTTTTGTGTCTTGGACACCTTTGGGAGTCTTGGTGAAGCTTATGTGAATCCTTTCTCAAAATAATGTTTTTAAATACATAAATGAATATGAATTACAAAGGAAACCAAATTTTATTATATTGAAATAGTTAACAAAATATTTTAAAAACAAAACATGGACACTTTCCTTCTCACATTAACAACCCCTGGATTAGACATTATATCATAATGGTCACTTCTAAGAAACTCAGAATTCTCTAATACTTGAACTTAATTGTTGTTACAAAGTTGTGAGAATGCTTAGAATATATTTCTAATCATTTAACATCACCATAGTTCATTTAGATTGTACTGTCATAGATTTAGAGCTGGAAGGGATTTAAGAAGCTATCTAGGCCAACATCTTTTTTACATATAAGAAACTGAGGCCCAGAAAGGTTGTAATTTTCATGGGATCCTAGATCAAGTTCTTCATTTAGATTTTGCATTTTAATGCTAATATGAGATATTCGTATCCACATTTCTCAAAGGATACTGAGCACATGTACAATGGAAATAATACAAAGCTTTGTTGTAACAAAAGGTACTCTGTCTTGCACTCTGTCCAAAAAGCTTAATTTTTACATTGATAAAAGAGCCCATTAATAAGGTTATTTCCTCTGTTAATGAGGTGGTTGGCTCTCTAGTGAGGGCCCAAAGGATAGTGTCATAAATTTGTTGCTAGATAATTAAACAAAATTCAACAGATTGAGTGCCATCACGCTCCTTTTAAATGCTTAATAGATTTCCTCACCATCATGGTATTACAGATTGAGGATTTTGTTTTAAAGCTATTTACTAATTAAACGTAAAATATATAATTTATGGGGCAGCTAGGTGGTGGAATGGATAGAGCGCTGGCCCTGGAGTCAGGAGGACCTGAATTCAAATCTGGCCTCAGACACTTGACACTTACTAGCTGTGTGATCCTGGGCAAGTCACTTAACCCCATTGCCTAGGAGTGCCCCCCCCCAAATATTTTACATGTATATATATGATTTAACTTTTTTACAGATTCCATGCAGAACGAGCCATTGGAATCATCAATCATATCCTTCCAGAAGACCATCTTCTATTGGCTTCCTCAAAGAGAGTAAAAGGTGCCTTTTCTAATTCGATTTATTGAGAGTTTAAAATGAAGGATTTATGGCATTTAAGATTGGGATAATGATTTATTTCTTTTGGTCTGATTAGATAGACTGCTATATATCTACTTTTTGTTTATTATATGCTAAGCAATACAAAATGTTACATTTTAAAATGATTGACTACAAGTCTAATAAAGGACTTCTGGTGGTTAATAACAGAGTTGTTGAGGAGCATTATAGATTAATTAAATTTTCAGATTTTGTTGGGGAAATTATTTATTCTAATTGCATCAGGTGATATAGATCTGGTTGTTTTATTTTCTTGTCAGGATTTCTTAAATGCCAGACACTGGAAATCCCCTACATTAATCTTAATGTTAGGTCATCCTAACCTCATTACAAAACATGTGGTCAAATTTGTCTTTGTACTTCATTTTTTGAGCTTTTGTAGTAGCTGTGGAGAGTTGACTTCTTCAGTTACCTTACAACAGTTATCTCAGAACACAACAGTATATATGTTTGGGAATTCATTTCATTTCATTTCATTGATGTATGGTTAGTGATTGGATGTCACAACATGCGATTTCACAGGTTTTACTAGAGCTTTGCCAGCCAGTCCTTTAATATACATTTAAAATTTTTATTTAGTTTTGTCTTTTCTGCTTAAAGTAATCTCATTGATAAATTTACACTCAAGCAAAATTCACCAAAATGTTGTGAACTAACTGTACAGTAGCTGCCTTAATTTTGACCTGTGAAAAACTAAAAGCCTAATACAAGACTGTATAAAGTACAAATTTGTCATTGTTTTAAATCCCTATGTGAAATGGAGATTAAATGGTGACAAATATTAGGCACATCTTTCAAAATATATTAGTTGTTGGACAACTCTAAATCATTTTAGCCTGTTCTTTAAAGTGTGTGTGTGTGTGTGTGTGTGTGTGATTTTGATAGACGATATGGACTTCTGAACGCTGGGATTTTGATTTTGAGCTGTGAAATACAATAATTTTGTTTCTTTTTTCAGCACTTATTTTGGAGGAGATTGCAATTGATTGTCATAATAAGGAAACTGAGCAGAGGTTGCTTCAGGAAGCTCACGATTTACATCTGTCTTCACTCCAACTGGCTAAAAAAGCTTTTGGGGAGTTTAATGTTCAGACTGCAAAACACTATGGCAACCTTGGAAGACTTTATCAGTCTATGAGAAAATTTAAGGTAGAGGTGTCTTTAGCTAAAAATTTATCTTCCCTTGTGTACCTAGAACAGTGATTTTTGTGTAAGAGTATAATGCATTCTGTTTCCCTAGAACTATTAGACCACTGTAGAAATGCATCTGAAATAGCATGCACTGTGGCAGCACAACATCTTCAGAATGAATGTGTTTTATGAACTTAATGGTTCCCCTTAAGCTATTAAACTTGAGAGCAAGTATAACTTAGTTCCTTATGCCTGGAAATTTTCATTTGAAAACTGGATGGCACTTTGCCAGAGATTTTATAGAGGGATTAGACCTCTGGGCCCTTGCCACTCCTTAAAATTCCAAAAAGTGCTGTGTGTTTCTGTATTTTGATGGATCTTGGCTTAATTATCTTTCAGGAAGCAGAAGAAATGCACATCAAAGCAATTCAGATTAAAGAACAACTTCTTGGTCAAGAAGATTATGAAGTAGCCCTTTCAGTGGGACATCTGGCTTCTTTGTATAACTATGACATGAATCAATATGAAAACGCAGAGAAACTTTACTTGAGATCAATAGCAATTGGTACGTCATTTAGCTTCTTTCCAGTTCACTGATTAAATTGAGCAACATGGCATACAGTATTTTCGATAAGAAGAATTACATTACAAAAGTTGTAATCATCTTAGAACTTCCATGGATAGAAATCACCACAGGAGTATATAAGAATGTACAGTTTACATAAATGGGACTCCTTTGCCTCACTTTTGGACCTAGTTTCTTTTTATCGTAGATTGTTCTGGGTTAGCAAAGGATGTTTAAAACACTAGTGTACAACAATCATATGAATATGCTTTTAGATAATTCTTAAATTAAAAAAAACTTACTGCTTTAAAATCTTTGCACAGATTGGACAACTTATATTTAATAATTTGTCACTATTTTCTTGTTCTCCACTGTCAGTATTGAACTTCATGTGGGGTGAAATTAGAAATGTGAGGTGGTTGCCTGCCTTTTTTTTTT